TGTTGCATGTGCCCGCCCCCGGGCTATTTACTGCCGGAGCTCCGCTCCTGTGCGCTCCTGCAGGAAATGACCCCTGCCTGTTACAATAGATGGCCCAGAAGGGGGGCACTTTATGACGGGATGGGGGGGGTTCTCCGCAATCCAACCCATCGCAGCACCCATTGGTAAACAAATGCTTTGTCTCTGCACCTGAATTGTCATCCAAAGGTCACAAGGTCGATTTGCCAACCCTTCAGTACCAACAGCCAGTCGTTTTCTATCTGGTCTCTTCAACCCATTTGCAGGTCATTTGCATATGCGGCCTGATTGGCCTTTGCCTCAAACATTCTAAACAGTTTGCTGTTGCTGTTGGGAGTCACTGAATGTGTCCTGAGGTAAAATACATATCCCAATCTTCCCTTAAACGGTCACTGGAGTTGCCAGTCTCCCTGTGGGGCCTGGAGATCTCCCAGAAATCACCCTGCTATTACAATGGCTGCTTTGGGCAGTGAACCTTAGCTGCCACTGCATAGCCCCAAATCAACATAAGTCAGGGGTGGAGGGAACCATACCTGTTACCATGAGGCTGTCCTCCCATACTACCCACTGGGGGCAGCAAAATGACTTGAGACAGCCCTGCCTTATAGCTAAGCAGAAGGAAATAAACATGGCTTGCCTCCCTCTATTTTCCCCTTCCCTCTGTCGCCCCACCAGCCACAGCCGGGACACTCACCTGGAGCTTCCTTCTAGAGCTTGTTGTATTTCTTTCCACAAAGGAGCCTTACTCCTAGTGTACTATATAAGCCTCATGTGGCATTGCCCTGTGTTCACATCAGGTACGTATAACCAAAATGTTATTTCAACTGCGTACCCTCCTATTTTAGTCCAGGAGATTCAGTTCCAAAAGCAGACACGGAGCCAGGATAACAATAGGTGTGTAGTCATATCGCCTAGCAGAATAACCAGCCAACAGAGGCCTGTTGGTTGCTTAAAGGCCAGATTTCATCATGGGGGTGGGGGGGCTGCTGGGGTCTCCCAGGCCTTTTCCTCGAATTCGTTTTCTCTTTGTCTGTTAAGCTTTTTAACAGGCGGGGTCCCTTCCCATGTAAACTGCTTGGTTCTAGTTCCAGGGGTTTGACTTATGAATGCAAAGCCGCTGGGATGACCGGGCAAGGAGCCACGTATTAAAACTGATCAGGAATTTTGAATTCATCGTTCCTAATCTTTCAACCACTACCGCCCATCGAGCCTGCAGCGTTATCATCAAACCTTTATCGAGCAAGTGGGAAATTAGGTCACAAACACAGTTTCTCGGAGAAGGGAACTTTTGTTTTATTTACGACACTCCACTCTCGGGCATCCATGCACTGAGATCCTTGCCTGCGCCTGATGGACACCTGCCAAGTCCCTGAGGGCAGGTCTCATTCCTGTTCCCTTAGAGCTTGGGAAAGACTGGGAGATTTTGGGGGTGGGGCCTGAGGAGGGCAGGGTTTGGGGTGGGGATGGCACAGCCTGCAGTTCAGCGTCTTAACCACTTGAGCCACCGCAGCTGCATACCGTAAGCAAATAGACAGGGTATAATACAAAATACAACATATATACATACAGTACATTACAATTACAGTTACAATTTCACAACATCAAGCAATTTGGTTACCAGATATGTATTACAGGGTTGCCACTTTTTGAAAAGTCGGGGAAATGAAAATTGGTCAGGGAAAGTCAGGGAAATTGTGATTAAAATATATTCAAGCAGTGGATTTTTGACCTGCTGCTGCCAAGAGCATGATCTGTTCTTGCGGCAACTCGAATACAGAAGGAGCAGAATACAAGTAGAAACCAATGATGCCCTTTCCCAACCATTTTAGATGGAACGTTTATATAATTTTTAGAGTACCTTTAAAACAATGACAAAAATGTTATGTCATTTGTTAGCATTCAATGGCCATGAAATTAAAAGACGCCTGCTCCTTGGGAGGAAAGCGATGGCGAACCCTAAACAGCATGATAAAAAGTAGAGACATCACCCTGCCAACAAAAGTCCGCATGGTCAAAGCAATGGTATTCCCAGTAGTCATGTATGGCTGCGAGAGTTAGACTATAAGGAAGGCCGAGCGCCAAATAATAGATTCTTTTGAACTATGGTGCTGGAGAAGACTCCTGAGAGTCCCTTGGACTGCAAGAAGATCAAATCAGTCAATCCTAAAAGAAATCAACCCTGACTGTTCCCTGGAAGGCCAGAGAATGAAACTGAAGCTCAAATACTTTGGCCACCCAATGAGAAGGGAGCACTCACTGGAGAAGAAGACCCTGATGCTGGGAAAGATTGAAGGTCAAAGAAGACGGGGACGGCAAAGGATGAGATGGTTAGACAGTGTCATAGATGCAACGAACATGAAGTTGAGCAAACTTCAGAGGACGGCGGAAGACCAGAAGGCCTGGCGTGATCTGGTCCATGAGGTCGCAAAGAGTCGGACTCGACTGTGCGACTGAACAACAACAACAACAACTTTATTTCAGTTCAGAACAAAGACAAATTGCCCAGCTCGCAGGCTGGTTTATATGCACAATAACCCCGCACCCAAAACACACCCACACACTAGTGATTGGCTATTTACAGTGGTGGAGAGTTCCATAGGCTTTCGACTGGAAGCCTAGCCTGCTGATAGGTGCGGGCTAGGATCTGCTTGTCCCATTGTTCCTGCCAGCGAAGCTGGACGGTTTCGCCTGAATGGCCACGCAAGCGGTCTGGGATGGATACATTACAGAAGCGCCCCCCCCCCCAGATTCGTAGATCCCCGTTAGAAGTATTGCTTCTTCCACTACATGTATTTTAGAGTTTGGTGGCTGCAGGTTCAGCATGCCACCGCCCTGCAGACCAAAGGAGTGCTGCTCCTGCCTGCTCGGCAGTGTCCCCTCTAAGCTGAAATAGTGTGAGCTGGCTCACGGTCCTTGAGCCTCCAGCTCACAGAGGGTGATTTCCCACAAGCGCTGCTCCCCGCTCACTCTTCTCTTTGGCCAGATGATAGGTGTCAATTTCACACAAGCTTATTTGCCCCGTAGCTTCCTGCGATTTCCACTTGCGTCTACTGATGGATGGGAGCTGCGGTGGCTCAAGTGGTTAAGATGCTTGAACTGCAGGCTGTGGAAGGTCAGTAGTTCAGCAGTTCAAGACCCGGGTGTGCCGCATGACGGAGTGAGCTCCCATCTCTAGTTCCAGCTCCTGCCAACCTAGCAGTTCGAAAGCGAGAAATTGCAAGTAGAGAAATAGGGACCACTTCGGTGGGAAGGGAACAGCGTTCCGTGCGCCTTGGTGTTTAGTCACGCCGGCCACATGACCACGGAAACGTCTTCGGACAGCGCTGGCTATTCGGCACGGAAACGGAGATGAGCACCGCAACCCCAGAGTCGGACTCGACTGGCTTTCGAGCAAGGGAGACCTTTACCTTTGTGACTGATGGGTGCAGCAGCCCGACCGCTCGCTCACCGCTTCGGTGCCAGGAGCTCACAAAGTCGGGGTTTTGCTCACCAGACTCCACAGCGCAGCGGGAGCGTTGCCGGTCGGCTGCCGGGCCGCCTCCGACCGCAGCCGCCTCCCTTTAGGACCCCGTAG